ACTTCACCCGCTTCTCGGAAGCAATAATTTGATCGGACAACCGGAGCACCTCGTTATCAACAGCGGCCTTCTCGGTTTTCAGGGTCTCAATCTCACCCTGGGCAATCACCAACTATTGATCTTGCTCGGCGACTTTAGTCTTTATCTCTTTCTCTTTGGCTGCCGCCTCCTCTCTTAGAGATGCAATGGCTCCATCTCTGAGCGCCAAAGAATGTTTTTTCTCGTCCACTTGGGCCGCATTGAGCCGAAAATCATCCTCGGCCATCACTAAACTTACCAAAGCTCGGCCGAGACATGCCTTAGCATATTTGAATTTGTAAGCGCATGGCAGTGAAGATACACCAATTTCAGATCTCGGGTCCAACACCATAATTGGGACCCGTGCAGCATCAGTAACGTGGCTTGGCAGCTCCACTTTGCTCTGGACCTCGGGAATCTCCACTGACTCAAAAGTCGAGAACTATTTTTCGACTGATTCCCGAGGCTGCCTGAAATTCAGTACTCTTTCCTCATCAATGGGTAGGAAAGACCGGTCAACCAAGGGTTCTTTCTTCTTCTTCCCATGCTGGCCAACATCGTGCTTCTTCTTAGATCGTCCTTCACCAGCCGGGGTGCTCTCAGCACGTCTTTTCCTCTGTCGGACCAGCGCGGCACCTTGCTCCTCGACCTCTTCTTGGTCGCCTCTGGGCTCGTTGGAGGTTACTTCTATGACCGATCGAATCTCCGGTTGAACGATTTCAGTACTCGGTTCAGCCCTAGGTGAGCCAATCGCAATCGAACCGGTCCCAGCAGTGGTAATAGCAGCAATCGGACCAGTAGCTGCTATCGCTAAAGGATTTGACTGCACCTCTTCAAGGACAACTCCCGACGTTGCACCACCACCGACATCAGCATTCTTCGGGTTCATAACCGGGTTGGACAGAAAGGCCTTCACCAACTTCTTGCGACCCATTATAGAAAGACGTTGTTCTTTGCTTTTTTCCGACTTTTCTTCGAAGTTCGAGATTTGGACACTTCTGGCGAAAAGCTTTAGCGTCACGAATAGTTTTGAACCCAAGTACTCCGAGAATCAGAAAATAAACTACAAACAAGAAAAATCGAGTTATAATTGCTCTTATAAACGACCGACTTCAAATAAGATCGAAAACTTATGACTCGAACTTACCTGGTTGAAAAGAATCTGAGATTACGGGATAGAGACCGACTGCTTTCAACCTCAAATCTTTCAAAACCTATTTGAAGCTGCGCTGTTCTTTCTTCAACTTGAACAGCTCGGTAATTCTCTCTTTCAACTCCGCACCGAGTTTCGGTTACTTTCTTCGTGCTGCAAACAGAAAGTTCTGACCTGTTAGTACAAAAATAAGCAACTCAGGCCAACTCGGTACAAGAGATGTTAAAAGACTTACAATATGCAGAATTAATTTCAATGGGTATTGACATCCCATCAATTAAAGGTTTAGAAAAATTCGGAGTTTTCCAGTCTCTCCCGGCCCACAGCCACTCTTCTTGGAACCCATGGAGAGAGTCTGGGATTTCGGTGATTAAATCACCGACTTTCAAACCACCTTGTGGCCTCCCTGCACATGCGAAACAGATCAACGAATCGGCCACTTGCCTATCGGCACACCTTCTAAATGTAAAGAGACTCCAAATCTCCTCCACGGTCGGCATATCCCATTTCTTCTCCTTTAAAAGCACTATCAAACCGATTATTCATTTCCAAGAATTTGGCACAATCTGGCATAAACCGGAGCCCCAATCTCTTAAGTAATCAGTAATTAATGCCGGTAAAGGGAATCTTAAACCCGACCTCAATGAATCGGCAAAAACGCCCACACAACCCGGCGGAGGGCAAGTAATCCTCTCACCCATATAAGGAGCAAATAACCTTACCGAGGAGGGAATGTCGACTTCCCCTTGAAGCAAAACAATATCTGCGTCGGTTAAAATACTCGGTTCCCCCCTATACTCGTCAATCAGCTCGGGCCATCGACGTACCAGACGTCTTCAATATTCTGCAAGAGACATCGCGTTGTTTTCCACTACCTTATCCTCCTCAACTATGTCCTTATTCAAATTAAGACTTTGCACAAGAATAGGATCCCACCGATAATACTCGAGAGGTAATTCCAAACCCTCGTCGGTAAAGATCCTATCCTCGGAAACCGTACGACTATTACTACCCTCAGCGTGAGAAGTCATTTTTCCAAGATCGAAGAAAAGAAATAAATGCAAAACCTTACCAAGTCACAAAGCCCTAAATAGGAGAAGATAAAGGAATGATCGTGATGAAAGAAGATTGAAAGCAAATTCGAAGCTCTTAAGGATAAAATCGCAGAAGAAAATAAAGAGTTCAGAAATTCAAGGTAACAAAATCTTCTTACAGCCAAAACCGACGACAATTTATAGGTTTTAAATTATGACCGTTGAGCAAGTCCTGAATTGGAGCGTGTAACAGACGTGTCCATAAACATTAATACACGTGGATTAACCTCGAAACGCCTCATCGTCCCATTATTCTGCCCGTTTGACCCATTAAATGCAGACACGACTTTTAAGAGCCGCCACGTCAGCCAAGCCATTACATAGCCATCAGAAAAGATCCGTAAAAGTACCAAGTGTTCTCATGTCAGTTATCAAATACAAAGAAGTCGGCAAACAACCATGTCAGAAATTACTAAAAATATTAACAACATCAGTGGCCATCTTGTAAAGTACAAATTACCCACTAATGTCGGGGGCCTCTTTCTTGATAACCGACTTGGTTGTACATGATTAGTTGAGAACTAATCATATTATTTGAACTTAGTCCAAGTCGGTAACAGTCGAAAGAATACCGACTTCCTCAAGCTAGACCAATCACACTCCAAACCGACTAAGCTATAGAAGCTCACAGACCGACTTCGCCAACAACAAAATTACTTGCTATGAAGGTTATCCTTTCAACCGACATCCGAGGAGACCGAATTCTTAAGCAAGAGACGCTGTACATTTTCTATTGGACCATTAAGTCCAATAGAAAATGGATCATTGATGTTCCATCATTACATTACACACCGTTTTATTGAGACTGCTCAATATTTAATGCGATCTCATCTACCTCGGACTAAAAGACAAAACTAGCCGTACTATAAATAGCTGAATTTATTATTATAGGAGGATCTTTTTCAACACATTGTACACGGACTATAAGACATCTCGGTTATGAACAAAAAACCGACTTCTTGTACTCTTGTGAACTTATCAATATAATACACTTTTACTTTTATTTCACGTAAAACACACCTTGCTGTTCCTAAATTTGAGTTGTTAATTTCAGTACAACAACAATGTCCATTGACCATTTGAATTTTTCCGAACCGAACCCAAAAAAAAATTGGTACGGTTCTGGATATTTCATAAATATTCGTACCGAGAACCGAACCGAGCCGTCCCGTACCGTACCGAACCGAAGAACCGAAATTAAGAACCAAATTATAAAAATAGATGCGTGTTATTAATATATTATATGTCAACTTTGATCCTATATAATTTGAGAATTTTTTAAATGCAAATAAAATATAGTAATAACAATTAAGATTCACTTACATTTCATGTTTAGTAATACTTGATCTACAATTGAATTTCTCATGTTAAAAAAAAATTAAAATGAAATGAAAGGTTAAAGATTTAAAAAAAAAAATATTTAAGCTTTACCTAAAGTTGTCGATACGTAGCCTTAGTTTATCTTATAACTAACATGGTATGAAAGTTTAAATAAATATTACTTTAATATAAAATTGTATTATATTTTGTTTGAATTTTAAATTTTCAATGTTAGTTGAATTTAATCTTAACTAAAATTTAGGATTACTTCTATAGTTGATTTAAAAATAAAATCTTTAGTATGATGAAGTATTGATGAATGTTGGGATTTTTTTTTTAAAAAAAAAAACATACAAAAAATAAATATAACTAGGTGGTCATTCAAATTTTTTTTAAAAATGATAAGAAGTCGCCGAATATCCGAACCAAACCAAACCGTTCCGATGTCCCGAAAACCGAATCGAACCGAACTGTACCGAAAAATAAAAATCTCCGAACCGGACCGAACCGATTTTTTGGTACGGTTCTGGAGATCGAACTTTAGTGATCTCCGAACTTTGGTACGGTTCGGAGATTTATCAATCTCCGAACCGTACCGACCCATGCTCACCCCTAATCACTTCTTAACCATATTAAATATTTTATTCGAAGTCAACTTTAGAAAAATTAAAATAACTCAAAATTGTAGGAAAGATTAAATTTACGAAACTAATGATAAAAATTTTATATTCAAATAAAATATAATATAATTTTTTGAAGTATTTCTTTGAATTTTCATCCCATTTTAGTTATAAGATGGAATAAGACTACAAAAAAATATCAATAAATATAATATAAATACAATTTTCAATTAATTGTGGATCAAACATTATCAAGCATGAAATATAAGTGAAGTGTAATCGTTATTATAGATGTTATTAAAATTTTAAAGACACTCACAATTATATAAAATTAATGTTTATAAAAAATCTATAAACAAGGCATATCTAATATTATAATTCAGTTCTTAATTGCGGTACGTTATGAGATGGTTCAGACTTCAGTTCGGTACTCGGTACGAATATTTGTGAAATCTTCAAAACCGTAAAAATTATTTTTTTGGTTCGGTTCGAAAAAGTCAAACGGTCAACAGTTAAATTTCAATTCCGAGTGAATTCAGTTCAATTTTGGAATGATTTGAAATTTTTCGAGTCTCATGCTCAACCATAACGTACATAACATCGAAGGTCGAAGGCAGGAAGCAAAGAAAAAAAAAGAAAAAAAAAAGAGAAGCCCATCAAGTCAACCCAACAACTTGGTAACCTACCATTCCATAATACTCAATGCTCTTGTTGAAAATGCCAAAACTAGAATGGAAAAACTATACTAGAAAATTTTTCCCTCTAAAATAAATCGCGGCCAGAAGAAAATTAGAACTAAAAAATCGCGCATCCCCTCACCCCCGTCTTATCGACTACAACGACCTCTTCTCCGGCTATGGTTGGGCCAAGGTCCAAGGTATTCTTTCTCGCCCCACCTGCTGCCATGGATTGGGGGATGGACGGCGTTAACTGTCTCTGTGCCGCCTCTTTTTGTGGCCATGATTGGGAGCCTTGGGGCCGGGGACAGAGGCTTCTTCCGACGAATCGTCTTGTCAAATAAACACCAAGTACCAATCTTTATATAACTCGTGAGAAATCACATCACTGTTCTTTTAGGTATCGATCCCAACACGATAGTGTGCACTTGCCCAAACACTATTAAATTCTCTTACGAAATTTGAATCCACCTCTAACTGCCAAAGCTCCAATTCCATTATCTCCTCAACTAGTATGAATCTCGTGTAAGAGATATTTATTAATATTTATAAATTAAAATTCTCATTAAATAATATTTATAAATTAAAAATATAAAATCAATATGTAACTACAGTTTACATATATTAGTTTATTGGAAATATTATATGAAATTTAAATTGTGCAAAACTGCATAAAAAAAGTCTATGTAAAATTAGTACACAACCTGTACAGTGATCATAATTTATGATAAATTATATTATATTATTTCAAAATAAGTTTCATTTTAGGCTTAATAGCGGAAAAATACACGACCTTTACTTGATTGGCCATTTAATCACGACTTTCAAACCTTGGCAAGTAAATACACAACCTTTAAATTTTTGGCAACTTGATACACGGATTTAACGTCCGTTAACGAAAAGCTGACGGGGCAGACGGAAAGCTGACGGGACATTTTTCTTTAATGGCCACGTCACCGAAAAGCGTGACTCAGTAGGAGCCAAGTCATCACGTGGAAATGTAGCAAAAACACTGCAAGGAGAGGGTTCGAACCTGCAACCCCTTACCTAGAAAGGGTGTGTGTGTGCCACTTGGTCTACAACAATTTATGTTAGATATTTGAATTCACTTATATATATACTAACTTCATTTTTCACATATATATGTACATATATATATATATATATATATAAATATAGTAAATAATATTTACTAAATAAATATTAAATATTCGTTATATTAAATAAATACTATTTCTATATTTTTAAATTTATATTTAATATTTAATAATAAATTGAATATTTAATAATATATTAAATAAATAGTAAAAATTATTTAATTAAATAAATATTATTTGTGTATTATTAAATAAGTATTTTTAATATTAAATTATATATTAAATATTTAATAATATTTTAAATATACTTATTAAATATTTAATAATATAATTAGTAAATATTATTTACTAAATGTTTAGTAATATATTTAATATATTTATTTAATAAATATACTAAATAAATTTTAATTTAGTTAATATATTAAATATATTTATTAAATAATATAAATAATATTAAACATTTATTTCGTATATTTATTTAGTAAATATTTATTTGATATATTTATTTATATAATATATATTTAATGTATATTGGATATATATATTACATAAAATATTAAATATTTATCATAATATATATTACATAATATATATTTAAATATTTAATAATATATTAAATTATATATTAAAAATTCATAGTATATTAAATATATTTATAAAATAATTAATAATATTTTAAATATATTTACTAAATAAATATATTTACATATGAATAAGTGAAGTCAAATATGAATAAGTGAAGTCAAATAATTTTGCTAGTGGTATATGAATAAGTGAAGTCAAATAATTAACATAAATCATGTTAGACCAAGTGGCATATAATCACATTTTATATGCTAGTGGTACCAGGTTCAAACCTCCTCTTTGCAATAATTTTGCTACATTTCCACGTAAGTGCTGCTGAGTCAAGCTTTTTGATTACGTGGCCGTTAAAAAAAATGCCCCGTCAGCTTTCCGTTGACGGACGTTATGTCCGTGTATCATGTTGCCAAAAATGTAAAGGTTGTGTATTTACTTGACAAGGTTTGAAAGTCATGATTAAATGGCCAATCAAGTAAAGGTCGTGTATTTTTCCGCTATTAAGCCTTCATTTTAAATATTTTTTCTGAAATTCAATTTAACTACAATGTGATTTCATAAAATAATTATTTTGATAAAATTTTATCATATATTTAAAAATCTATGTGAATAATAAGTATAATTATAAAACTTATATTGTTTCATTATTTAAAATAATTTTTTTCTTATAAACTATCCAAATAAAAAATTTAAATACTTGAGTAATTTATTAAACTAAGTTATGAGTAGTTACTTATCTGAATTTTAAATTTAGAATTAAAATTTGGACTATACAATAAATCGCTTATATATATATATATATATATATATATATATAATTATAATATTTTACAATTTCTAGTTTTGTTGTGGTTTATCGTATCGTTTAAATTTATCAACTAAATCTCTAGAATTAAAATATAAATTTTAATTTTTATTAACTAATATTTGTTCAAAGATCGAACTTTCCCCTAAGACAGACTTAAAAAAACAAAGCTGTCTAATTCTAAAATGCATTCCTACCACATCGAACGAGGAAGCTGAATCAAATGAGTTAACAGGAAAATACTCTTATAGGAATCACTACGACTTGAGACCCTCGATATCGACTTACCAGATGACGACCTGGAAAGTGGGTCAGACCGTGGAATAACTTAATTTAAGTGAGATGATAACAGGTAATTTAAGGATCTCAATGACGAGCTGAGATATTGATTGGGAAGATGACGATCTAAGCATAATGGTTTCGGTCTCCTCGGGGTTAGGTTGTAGTCGACCTCCCTTATCTCGAGGTCGACTTTTATTCACCTCACGACTTTTCGTATATGACGATGAAGGTTGCACCGCGATGACTAGCTGGTGGCTGTCGAAACCAACAATCATAAATTCCTACTCGTCTAAAATATAAAATTGTAGTAGCAATGAGTAGGGTCGTATCCACAGAGATCGGATGAAATGAGTTGATGCAACTATTTCGTGAAGGAATAACAAATAAATAAAAAGATGGGGGTTTTGAATTGATCGAACTACCTAAAATAATAAAAATTAAATTCAATTAAAATAGACACAAAGATGAAAGATTCGAGATTTAACTAGATTAAATCACAGAGATAAAATATCCAACCAAAGGAAAAATTCGTATAAATGGTTCAATGATTCGATCATAGATGCAAAGATAATTCTCCTACTCTCAATTAAATTGGTTATGGTTATTGGTACGACCTAATAACCTATCCTTCCTTACTTGTTCGATAATCAGGATACGATCTCTAATTATTTCTTTAATCAACAGACAGTCCTAGATACGATCATAGGATTTAATCTATCAACAGCATTAAAACTAGAAGGATCACCAATTCTAGCCAACAAACACACATGTAGGATCATTTAGACTAGATCATATATCTCCCTAAACATAAAGTCAAAAACCCTTAGTAATCAACTATGTTCTTCGCCACCAATATTAGAACAATCAAACAATTACGGATTTAATGTTCTAAATGGCAATATGCTATTCCGTTAATTGAACAAGAGCTCTTTTGCATCAATCAACCAAAATAACAATTGATAATAAAAACAAGAGACATACGAATAAAAGAGAATAGGGAATTGAAAACACAATTAGATCTCACAAATCATGTAGAACCAAATCATGAATAATCCTTTGGCTGGAAAAATAATTTAGCTATCCATAAACATGGTAGTCTTCTCCATAAAATTCATCCAAAAATAAATAAAGGCAGTAGAAATAAAATAAACTGTAGAAGAATTCTGGCTGTCGTGTGTCGTCCAAGCAGATGCGACGATCCCAAATCGCAGAACAGATAAAAATAATAACGTCGAACTCAATGGAGAGAAGAAAAAGAAGAGAGAGAAAAATAATACCTAGCAGTCTGATTTATTAACAGTCTAATCCTAATCCCAAAAGAATACGTAGAAAATAATCTTCTCTCTCCAAAAATATCCTAATAAATTAAAATAGTCTATAAATAAATAAATTACATAAAGTCTTTTATTTCTCTTTCCAACTCAAGGCTCCTTCATTCTTCTAACTCTTGTAGGAAATTAGCGTGCCCACGCCTTAGCTCAAATTCGTCTCTTTCGCCTTCCATTCATCATAAATTCCAAATTCCGAGATATCCTACATAAATTATAAAATTCAATTAAAATCAATAAATAAACTCCAATAAACACCGAAAAGTATAGAAAACATGACAATTAACATGCCAAGAATACAACTTATCAAATCACCCCACATTTAAACGATGCTTGTCCTCAAGTATCAAGTCAAATTCATGTCTCATCTCATAATCATCTCTATCATTCGTTACCAACCCAAAACTATTTTGCACACATCAGAAACATAGCTCAAGAAAGAATCCTCGTTAACCACATCAATGAATAATCACCTCAACAATCAAATAACTTAAAACACATGAGATTCGACAACTTCTCGCTAGATGCACTCAACCGAATGTGTATAGGCTAAATATGAAGTGTACGCTCAAGTCAAGACAATGACGGATTTTACCATAAGCTTGCAAATATATCACACTCGTCCACCCAAGAATCAATATGAATACACAATATCGAAGGGTTTAAATGGGTTGTAATGGGGCTTAGGTAAGGTGGGATAAAGGACATTTTAGGCTAAGAGAATCGAAGCAATCATACAAACTCTTCACAAATGGAGCACATCCCAAAAGAAGCCATTTTGACTGTTTAACTTCACAAAATGTATCTAACGTAAGCATAACATAGCACAATTCTCTTAATTGTCATTATCTCCATTTTTTTTTTATTTTTTTTATTTTTTTATTTTTTTGAATTAAGTTTTGAAGACAAATACTAGTAGATGCTAGATAACTAAACATCAAACAAACCACAGTCAATTCTAAGCACATAAGCTCATCATCAATACAAAGAATTCATATAATTGCTTCAATTCAAGGTTCAAAAGAGGGTATCAACAAAAAGGATATTGTGGCTTGTAACGTGGCTAAATCGAAAGAAAAGGCTAAGGCTCAAACTTGGCTCACTAGGGGTCTATGTAAAAGGTAGGCTACCAAGAAAAAGGCTAAAAACAAAGGGCTAATCCTAATACCCTTATTAAGATATCGTGCATCCAAATTCATCAAAGATAAACAAAGACATGTATAATAATGCAAGTTCTAGAAAAACCAACTAGTCATGACAACACACAATCAAAGAAACAGAGCATGATATTCAATGTATGCTCATAGGCTCAAATCTCACCAAAAGTAAGGTAATATGTGTCGAATCACATGCATTCATCCGTCAATTAATCATCAAGAATAATCAATCACCAAGTAGCAACAAGGACTCAAAAATCATTTTCGCATGCAAATAAAACCAATTTTCACCGGATTGGCACCAAATGAATCAAGAATAACCATGAGAGACACAAAGAAAACAACTCAACACGTAAGAACATAAGCCTCCAAATATTAGCACGAGAAATGCAACGCATATTCAACAAGTAATCCCACCCCACACTTAAGAACAGACATTGTCCTCAATGGCAGAACCAGATGTCCAACTAAAATAAACGAATAATAATAAACAAGAGAAGTGAGGAACTCCCCTGGTCACACTGAACATCTGCGTAGAGTCGGCATCCTCACTGAGGTGCCGGGTAGGGCGGTTTGAAGCCGACGTGATTGAAATACGCCTCCAAGTTGCGCTCCATTCTCGTTAATTGCTGTCGAAGGTCATCCATGGCCTCACCAGAAGTGGCTTGCATCCTCGAATCAGACATAGGGAGTTCCTTGTCGGTCGCTGAACCATCTCTAGATAGGGCTAGAGGTATACGTGCAACGCTGCGCTTGATCTTAGAGGGACCTGGACCACAAAAAACAATAGAACCTTCCTTTTCCTCGATTAAACCAAAACCTTTCAAAGCATTCAAATTCAAAGGTTGCATCTCACACGCCACATGCAAATCATTATCATCTAAATCAATCAATTTGTTACGAACAGCAAAATGGGTGATCAAAGAACCAAGAATCAAAGGTCTCATGGTTTTCCCTTTCACAACACTATAAAACTGAGTAGCCAACCAATAACCTAGATTAACTCTTATCTTTTTAAGCATAGCCCATAGGAAGAAAAATTCAGTTTTTGACAACACAGCAGAATTTTCTTTTCTTCCTGAAAATGTATAAGAGAAAAACCTATGAACGTACTTCAAAATAGGGTCACGCAAATAAGTATCCGTGGATGTGCTGGGATTATAATAATGAAGAGGCGTCAACTCACGGTACAAACCAACAGCATGAAAATCATCATGAAAATCACAAACAGTATTCCGATATTCATCACTATTGCTAAACTCCTCAGTAATGAAACCGAAAGCAACATTAAACTCAGTGATAGAAAAATTAAACCATTTCCCAGTCAATCGAAATTTCACAACCCCAGGAGAGCTCAAAGTAAAATCAAGAGGTTTTTCAAATTCATATGTGGCATAAAATTCCCGAACAAGTTCGACATAAGCAGGAAAATTAATATCAAAATATGACACCCATCCAATATTCTCAATCAACTCAGTGACCCTATCAGTTATTAGCAACGTATCCATCGTAGGACGATCAACGAATCTACAAGGGACAATAGATTGAGAACATAGAAGACGATACCTGTCCTTCTCGACTTTCTTGGAAAAGTTGAGATTACCGTTCAAGTCATCCTCAGAGGGCGGAAGAATTTGTAAGCTCTTGACGAGTCTAGCACGCTTGCGCGTGTCGGGTTCCTTCTGACTGCGGTTTGAAGCGGCGCTCGTCTGAGTGATCGATTGGACACGTTTCGGATTGCGTTTTCCCTTGGGCTGGCTATCCGTGCTCTTGGTACGGCCCATGGCAATTGAAAACCGGATTGGATAGTACCTGGCCTTGGCAGCGATTTACAGTCGGTGGCCGGTGGAGTGGTGGCTAGACAGATTGAGCCGTAAAAATAAATCAACGGGGAAGAGGGGCCGTGAATGTGAACAGCGGTGGCGGTGACGGCTTCAGAACGGCGGAGAGCAGCGGGTCCCGCCGGAAAAATTCAGGTCTGGACGGATGGAAGCCGGTCACAGATGGGCAAAAGGTGGTCGTGCGCGGTGGTCGGAAACAGGCGGAGAACTCGCCAGCTGCTGCTAACCTTCGCGGATTGATGTCGGAATCGCTGGTTTGTGCACTCCTTCGCGGGAGATGAGCAGGGGTCGTCGGACTCGCCGGTTGGTAGACGATGGTGGTCGTGAACAGGAGAACGGCGGCGGTTGTCGTCGGCAATAGGAGGGTCGCGGCGTGTGGTCGTCTGAGGGCGAGAAGAATTCCTCGCGACTGGTCTTAGGAGAACGACGGCAGCGACTCGCCGGTGGACTATGGCGGTCGCGAACAGGAGGAGACTCACGCACGGTGGTCTGAGGAGAAGGGTCGCGCGGTGGTCATCTCACGATAATTGAACAGAGAAGAGAAGGGGCGTGGAAATCTGTGAGAGCGAAGAAGACTACTTAGGGCTGGAAAAGTGGAAATAAGATGTTTATCCGATTTTTTTGATTTTCCATTTTTTTTTTTTTATGTATAAAAACTGAACGAAAAAAAACGAAACGTAAGTCTTTGATAGCAGCCCGGACAGAGACGAATTTTCCTTAAGGTGTGGCCACGGCTTATATGAAGAGAAACAATACATTTACGTATGTATAAGGCGTGCCCACGTCTTAAAAAAAAAATCGTTCCTACTTTAAAATTTCAAAAATCCTATCAAAACTACCAAATACTAACGTAAAAAATAATTAAAATCAAGTATCAAAATAAAAATAAAATAAAATAAAAAAAAAATTTAGGTTGCCTCCCAAAAAGCGCCTTTGTTTAAGTCGTTGGCTAGACTGTGCTATTGCTCAACCGGAGTATTTCGGGCTACCAAACTCAATTGTATCAATGGCATGAGCTTGAAAACCTTCATAAAAAGGTTTCAAACGATGGCCGTTCACCTTAAACACCTTACCGGTATCGTGACTTTTTATCTGAACTGCACCATGAGGAAAAACATTAGTAACAACGAAAGGCCCTAGCCATCTAGAACGTAATTTCCCAGGAAATAATTTCAATTTAGAACTAAAAAGCAGCACCTTTTGACCAATATGAAATTCTTTCCGAGAAATCATTCTATCGTGAAAAATTTTCTTTTTCTCCTTATAAATTTTAGAGCTTTCATAGGCTTCATTACGAATTTCTTCAAGCTCTTGCAACTGTAATTTCCTCATTTTCCCAGCCTCATCCATTTTTAAATTGCAATGTTTAATGGCCCAATATGCACGATGTTCTAGCTCTACAGGAAGATGACAAGGCTTACCAAATACCAAGCGATAAGAAGACATACCTATCGGAGTCTTATAGGCGGTTCTATACGCCCATAGCGCATCATCAAGTCGTGTACTCCAATCCTTCCTACTTGGACTCACAGTCTTCTCAAGTATAGATTTGATCTCTCTGTTCGAGACCTCTGCTTGACCACTCGTCTGGGGATGGTAAGCGGTAGAAGTTCGATGGATGACACCATACTTTTTCATCAAAGCTTCTACAACCTTGTTGCAGAAATGAGTCCCACGATCGCTTATAATGGCTCTTGGCGTCCCAAACCTAACAAAGATATTAGACTTCACAAAATCCACAACCACTTAAGCATCGTTAGTCCGTGTAGCCTTAGCTTCAACCCATTTTGACACATAATCAACAGCAAGAAGTATGTACACATTGCCATTGGAAGAAGGAAAAGGACCCATAAAATCAATACCCCAAACATCAAATATTTCACAAACTAGAATAGGGTTAAGGGGCATTTAATCTCGATGTCCTAGATTTCCTGTCTTTTGACATTGTTCACAAGACTTGCAGAATAAATAAGCATCACGAAACAACGTAGGCCAAAAGAATCCACACTCTAACACCTTACGAGATGTCCTTTTTGGACCAAAGTGTCCACCACAAGCATAAGAATGACAAAATCTCAATATAGACTCAAACTCATTTTCAGCGACACACCTTCGTATAACTTGGTCAGAACAAAATTTCCACAAATAAGGGTCATCCCAAGAATAATATTTAGCATCACTTTTAATTTTATCCTTTTGAGACCTAGACAAATCAGTTGGTAAAGTCCCAGCAACTAAATAATTAACTATATCAGCGTACCAAGGATTCGTCTTCTGAATAGAAAAGAGATGCTCATCTGGAAACTCATCTTTCAATGGGGCTACCTCTTCACTTGAGATCAATCTACTCAAGTGATCAGCTACCAAATTCTCTGGTCCTTTCTTGTCGCGTATCTCCAAGTCAAACTCTTGAAGCAAGAGTATCCAACGAATAAGGCGAGGCTTTGACTCCTTCTTCGCAAGCAAGTACTTGATAGCTGCATGATCAGAATAAACAATCACTTTAGCACCAAGTAAATATGAACGGAATTTTTCTAAAGCAAATACAATAGAAAGAAGCTCTTTTTCCGTCGTCGAGTAATTGCACTGAGCACTATCAAGCGTCCTCGATGCATAGTAGATAACATAAGGAGCTCTTCCAATTCTCTGGCCAAGAATAGCACCAACTGCATAATTGCTCGCGTCACACATGATCTCAAATGGAAGACTCCAATCCGGTGGTCGGATGATTGGCGCAGACGTCAACATATCTTTCAGCTTGTCAAATGCCTCTTTGCACATGTCATTGAAGTCGAACACTACATCTTTTTGCAACAGTCTACACAAGGGATGAGTAATCTTCGAGAAGTCTTTGATGAAGCGCCGGTAAAATCCTGCATGACCAAGAAAAGAACGAATCTCCCGCACACTCACGGGGTAAGGCGGATTTAATAACATCTACCTTAGCTCTATCAACCTTGATTCCCTTAGAAGAAACTATATGCCCTAAAATAATGCCTTGATCAACCATAAAATGACATTTCTCATAATTCAAAACCAGATTCTTTTCAATACACCGTTCAAGTATCTTAGTAAGATTAGAAAGATACGAATCAAAAGAATTGCCATAAACAGTGAAATCATCCATAAAAACCTCAATGATACTCTCTACATAATCAGAAAATATACTAACCATACACCTTTGGAAAGTGGCAGGTGCGTTACAGAGCCCGAACGGCATCCGTCGATAGGCAAAAGTGCCAAATGGGCATGTGAAAGTAGTCTTCTCTTGATCCTCGGGCGCAACAGGTATCTGGTGAAAACCTGAGTAACCATCAAGACAACAATAATGAGTATGGCCAGCTAATCGTTCAAGCATTTGATCAATAAATGGCAATGGAAAATGATACTTTCGTGTTAATGCATTCAAAGCTCGATAATCTACACAAACCCGCCACCCATTTTGCTCACGAGTGGCTACAAGCTCACCTTCAAAATTTCCAACTACTGTAATACCTGTCTTCTTGGGCACAACTTGAACCGGACTTACCCAAGTACTATCCGAGATTGGATAGATCATACCTGCATCGAGAAGCTTCAAAATTTCTTTCTTTACCACCTCCATCATAGGTGGGTTAAGACGACGCTGGGCTTGTCGAGAAGGCCTACTCCCTTCTTCAAGCAATATCCTATGAGTACACGTGGAAGGGTTCAATCCCTTGATATCTGCGATCGTCCACCCAATAGCCTCCTTGAATTTTCTAAGGACCCGAATCAACTTCTCTTCCTCCAAAGTGGACAACTTATTGGAGATGATAACTGGAAGTGTCTCCTTTTCTCCCAAGTACGCATACTTCAAGTGATCT